CTGGAGCGTGCAAAGGAGTATGAAGCAGTCTTTAACACTCAGCTTCGCAGCTCTGGACAAAGTGTGGCATCTAGCTCTGGTGATGCACCCTGACGGGAGCATCAAGGAGGAGTGATGAAATGGGAGTGCGGGTCTTGCTTGCTGAAAGCTGGCTGGAGTGTGAGCCGGAGTCGGATGCTGCAGTATGTTTTCGCTTTATGGCTCAAAGGTAAGGCTACGAGAAAAAACCTTGAGTCACGGAAGCCGCAAACCCGCGTGTGTGAACCCTAATCAGTCCGAATGTCATATGACATGTTCGCTGAAGGTAGTAGCAGCGCAGAGCGGCCTTTTTACATGCATGTACTGTGAAGTTCAGACGTTTGTTGTGCGTGGAAAACCAATTCGTCCGAGGTTGGAAGCCCATGGTTCGCCTTTAGCTGGCCTGTAAGAGGTTTCTCGACCTCATCAATAAGGGTTACTAACTATGAGGCTTTAGGGTTTAGATGTAAGTGAAAACCTGATTAAGAATGCCAGACTTCATATTTACGAATCCTAATAGATCGGGGTTATCTTGTCAAGGTTCTTACATAGGCAGGTTTTTTCAAGGTCTCCATACCATGAAGGCTAGCCTCTGGTACAGTTTTCCCAATGTGGTGCATCATAACTTGGCGCTGTATAAGATTGTTATGAGATCATGCAGCAGAACGGATGGATAGAATGCAAGCTAGTATGTGGCAAGTATGTGGCAACTACTGGACACCAAGAGCACAGCCGCTTGCAGGTGCAGAGGCCTGGGATGCACCCCGAAACCGCCGAGCAGTACCCACAGAGGAGAAGACACGATCTGCCCTCTGGGGGCTCGGATTTCTTCAACGGGATATTGTGGAAGATACGGTCCGAGATTTCAATGAGCCGGACGACGGAGACCCCTCGAAGGCTCCACTGGCCTGCCATTTTCTGCCTGACTTTATATGTCCGGTGCTTCGCCGCCGGCTAGTTGGACGACGTATACTAGCAGGCCAGGGGTGAATGCTTCAGGGCTTCGGTATTGCTAGATGTCGCGACAGGCGTCGCAAAGACACCATAACCAGCAGACCCCGCTATTCTTCGATTGGCAGCGAGCTGAAACCCTACCGTTGCTGAGCTAACCCCAAAAGCTCCCACCAACAAAATCACACTCTGCCATCTCAACTACAGGGCTACCCCTGGCACCATGTTTTCTTCAAGTAGAACATCGCCTGTCCCTGATCTATTGAAAGCTTGGGAGCCACTGGCCCCAGTCATATAGTAGCCCAAATAAATACCAATGGCTTTCCTTAGGGCTTCTTATCATACTGAGTATACATCAAAGGAGCCCAGAACCGTGTCCGAACTATTAAGGTGCGATAGGTTTCGTTGCAACAGTTTCTTTCAGCCCTACACCCAACGGCGCCCTAAAGGAGCGCTAAAACCCCCGGATCATTGTGGTCAAGAATCCTCTGACTCTCGAGAATTCCAATCTCTGCTACCGAAAGCACGCAGAAACGGGCAGATCATAGCTAGCAAGGCGAAGGGGAAGGATAATGTACGAACATCTTAGACCTGCCAGTGGAGCCTGGAAGCCATATGAGGCCGCACAAGTTAAGACCTTCAAAACCTTGCATGTAACCTCTAAAGGATGCTCTTGACACCCGCAAAACTCAGACTCATAAGCTTATAAGCCTCGAAGAAATTCTCAACCCGCAAATGTCAACAAACAAGGCTCAAAGGTAGGGTTGGCCTCATGTGGAGTGGTGCGGCCTGTACACAGTCGACGTTCTCGCTCCTCTCTAGCTCCAGCTACAGCCTCAGGCGGTTTTCTTTCCTTGGTGAATCATCGGGATCCTTTTCGCTTTTTGCCGATTGGCTTTGCTAATCGTGTACAAAAGGGAGCCCATACAGGATAGGTTTTCCTTTCCTCCCTAGCAGGGAAGCACTTTAGGGCCCATGCTTTCAGTTTACGTGCCATTCGCAGGATCAGCATTGAACTGGCCCTGTAAAATCTGCACCCAAATTCTGGTAGCAGTAGCAGCAGCATCAGTAGCAGTAGGAGTAATAGTTTCAGTAGTAGTTGCAGAGGCAGCAGCAGGGGGTCGCTGGTAGAGAGAGAGAGAGAGAGTTGTGGCCTCAAAGGTGATGGGGAAGCTTGGGGGAGCGTTGTATCAAGGCATTGAAGGCCTGTCGCTCAGAAAGATACTATTCACAGTTCAGCTTTTTCTGAACCAAAGACTCACCCTGCAGTGCATGTCTGGTAAGTGCACATGCTACCCTACGCGTTAAACTCCTAAACATGCATAGGCAGCTTGAAGTGTCACGCCGACTTATGCACCTATGGATCCTCGCCTGGCTTGTCCGAGTTGTGAGAGTGTAAACTCCTAAACCCTAGTCTCTGGGTTTGGAGTCTGGAGATATTTGAGCTCAGTTGGCGGCAGCGATGGGATTCTCCGGGATCGGCGGTGCCAATCACGGGTGAGGAGCAAGCTCCGCTTGAACATCCCTTTCGAAGCTCGGCATGCAGGGACTACCTACAGTCTCCATTGTAGTTCCTTGTTTTGGTTTAACCAAATATATAATACGGATTTTATAAGGTATCCCCAAAAAGGAACTACAATGGAGACTATAGGGAGGGTTTTGGGGTTGAATAGGTTTGGGGAGGAGCTCTCGCGGTCGATTTCCTAAACCCTGACCATACCCAGGATGCGGCTTTGGCAGCTAAACCTAAACCTAAACCCTATAGACCCTATAAACCGTAAACCCTATAAACCCCAAGCCCTACGTAAGCCCTGTAAACCTAGCCCTATAAGCCCTAAACCCTAAACCCTAGCCGTACCACCAGGATGCGGCTCTGGCAGCTCTGTCCCGTGGCTTCTAAAGACCTTGCCAGGGGAATTCAGAGCTGGGTGTGAGAGCCTGTCCTGGTTTAGGGTTTAGGGTTTGGGGCATTGAGATTTCAGGAGTTCAACAGGTATCGGATTTTTTTTTTGCAGTGCTGGGGTTTCACAAGATTTAGGGTTTCTTTTGGGGTTTGGGATTTGTCATTTTGAGGTGCCTCTTTCTCAGCACTTGTCAGCTGTAGTTATAGCCCCACTAGAGATGAAATAGAGAGCCTACGGTTGCGGTGAAGCTTGTTTAAGATCTGTCAGTGTTTGGGTTTTAGGGTTTAGCTTCGCTGCCGGCATACACTGCAAGTATCTGCAAGTCCGTGCCTAAAAACGGTTTAGGTGCAGCCGATTGGCAGACTCTGGGTTCCAAAAGAGGGTTTAGGTGTAGGGTTTAGGATGTTTGAGTAGACGGTGGCATGCGCATGTGAAAAGATGAAGACACAGGACAAGAAACGCACAGCACCCATGGACTTGCTGAAAGCCCTGCACCCTGAACCCGTCGAGTCCTCTGCATTAAACGAGATCTTCTACACTCGGATTTCTAAGAGCAAGCAGACATAGGGATTTGAATAAATCATGATGTCCTCCCCTTTATAATCCCTATACTATAAGCACACTAGAACATACCCCCAAAACCTTGTTCCAATCATGACAAGGAGGCCCGCCCCTATATTTGAACCGCGGAGCTTCGGATTCCCGGGCCTGGCATGCCCAACGAGAAGAAGCCCTGACGTAGAAGCCTAAGTCATTACCAATTTTTTGGGTTCCTGTATTGTAAATCGAGTATTAAGGAAATCTTTACCAATTTTAGGATTCCTGTATTATAAATATAGTATTAAGGGGCCCAAAGCCCTATTCAAATTACCGTAGCCATGCAGGCTCTCTGGCAACTCATAGGGTCCGGGCTGGTGGGTTTAGGGTATATTTGTTTGTTCGTCTGCTGTTTTTTTAGATCACAGGGTGGAGTCGACGTTTTTTGGGTTAAGGACCGCAGGCTTTGATTCTAAGTTCGGGGAACTCATGATATGCCTTTCAAGCAGCCTGCGAGGGAACTCCCTGTTCGACTAGCGCTTGCCGGCTTTTTGCCTTAGGTTTTGGATTGGCTGGCTGTTGAGGCAGAGTCAGTTTAAGAGCTGTAGAAGATAAGTCGGTTTAAGGTTTAGGGTTTAGAGATAAGTGACTCCAACATACTCTAACTGGTAGGATGTGTTAACCCCCTCTCAACAAAACTATCAACCTATTCTGGTTACTGAGGACTTTGTGTTGCGCACAGGTACACATGTTGGCACCCGTACCCAGCAGTCATCGAATACCTTCGTGCAGTTCTATTTCGGCTTTCTAGACCCTAAATGCTTATCAGCAACAGAGCCTTTAGCTCGAAACCCCAAGTATGCCCTGAACCCTTAAACTTACAGACTGTAGAGCCTTCAACCCCAAACCCAAGACGCCAAGCTGTAAGCCTTCGAGGACCACTGACCATTCAAGGCCCGACCTCACAAGAGCGTTTTACAGCAACTCACAGGCGATCCGATGACCACGAGAACCAGCAGCCTTCCAACGAAGGGGACCCGGGTAATTTTAGCGTTTAGGGTTTAGGGTTTAGGATTAACAAGAAGAAGGGGCTCCTTTGCAGAGCTGCGGGCTCCATGTTTTAGAGTTTAGAAGAGGGATTAGAGCGCACAAGTCCAGATGCAAAAAGAGTTTAGAAGGGTTCTATATGGGTTCCCTTACAAGGATTAAAAGGATGTGGAGGGCTGCGGGTTTGGTAAACAAAAAGCAATGAACACAGTCTTTCTATGCAGAGTTAGACTTGCAATGGTCGAAGCCGCTGCACAAGTGGCACAGTGGCACCAAACCAGCAAATACTCTAGACGCTGCTTCTCATTGAAAACACAAGTTTACATATCATCCAAAGCCTGACTTAGGGGAGTCTGGCAACGTCCTGTCTAGACAGGGCTGGGCACTACAGAATGGAGTTGGCTCGTAAACACGAGAAACAAGAGGACCCCTAGGACATTTAAACTGCAGGCTAGACATACAACTCTCATCTTTGGACCTGTCGAGACTTCGCAGGATGTACAGACAAGCGTAGCGGATGGGAAGCCGCAGATGTCTGGCGATTTCATGGAGAACTGGAGCACCCAGACTTCTCCGCCACCTGGCTAGGCTTAAGCCTATGAACCCTAAACCCTAAGCCCTAAGACTTCATTGAGAAGATTCAGGGTTTGGGGTTTCAGCAGGTTTGGGGCTGGCAGGGTTGACAGAACATAGGCTTTACGCCTCATGGCCTGGATCTTATAGGTGTTAGGCTCACTGAAGCTGCAGATGTGAAGGGTCTGTGGGCTGGATGGCAGGCCGCAGGGAATCATCTGAGCTTCCGTGATTCATTCGGGGCTGTGCAATGCCCAAGTCTCCATATTTCTGAGCTTCGCACTGGTTTTACTCTCCACCGTCCCAAGTTCAGCGTTGCTACTGCCGACCATGTCTCGTAAGCTCTGGCTTCACAGTTCATTGCCGCTCTTATGGACTCGGTTGAAGTCGAGGAGTGCCGAGGATTTTGAGTCTGAGAGTTTCCGCAAGCGGGCCCAGATGCAGACCTACAGTACGGTAGGAGGCGCATTTCGAAGCGTCAGGTAAGGCACTCCGAAATATTCGCGCAGAAAATGGTAGAAAAGCAGGAAGCTCGAGCCTAAACCCTGCAGGGCCCTAAACCCTAAAGCAGCTGCGGACCTCCCCCAGCCACTTCCGCCGGAGAGGTCGGAAAAACCCTAAAGCATTCGAGAAAGAAGTTTTGGGGTTGTGGGTGTCAGTCTTGGGCTACCATAAGGCTCCAGTTACTTAAATAGTAGGTAGGAGGTTTAAAAGTAGGTAGGAGGTTACTAGCCATGTATATAATATATATATATATATGTATGTATGTATGTATGTATGTATAACACGTATGATTAAGCCCCGCAACCCATTATTGAGGTGCCCTAAGTCCTAAACCCTATCTTGAGGCAGCCGGAGCCCTATTAAGTCTCTAAGGTTAGAAGTATGGGCCCCTAATACGGACCCTTATAGGCCATTCTAGGGACCCTTAAGGCTTAAGGGGCCCATGGTTTCAACCTTAGAAAGTCCTAAGAAGCCCCCTGTTTTCCTCAGGAGCAGCCCGCAGCGAAAGGCGCCTCAGTGGGGTACGGATCCTGCTCTTGGAATCATATTGGCGCCTTAATAACATCAGACTGCACTGAGAGTAGTAGTGGACCGATAGTATTGGTCATGATTTAGGCTTCTATATTACACACATGAGCGTGGGAGTTTATCTTGCCTACCTTGCATGCGTCACGTATGCTTGTGTTCTTGATGCTTAATTCCCTTCAACCCCCCTCAACCCTACAACCTAACCCTGCACACTGAAACCTACAACCGTCAGCTTGCGACGATGCAGGCGCCCCGGAAACTGGAGGATTTCCCTCCTCGCAAGAGGAAGCCAAAGGCCGTCCAGGTAGGTGGGGGTTGGCGCGTATCATCGCTGCGATTTACCAGGTTTTTATGGTGGCTTTGTAGGGTGTTATTCGGGTTTTATTGTCGCTTGAAGCAAATTCCACCATTCGTGCAAATCTATCACCACGGCTGTGTACTGAACCATTTCTTTGCAGGCCAGCACGGCCACAGTTTTAAAGCTTGGGCGAGACAGCTCGAAGCAAGCATCCTGAGTCTCAACTAGCGCCAGCAAATGGATGTCGGACTGCTGATTTCAGAATCCTGCTACTGTTAAGAGAGTCTCTGACTTAGCATTAGAGTAGGGTTGAGGAAATCTTAATAGTATGCGATATAGGGCCTGCAAGGGCGTATCTTTACTGATTCTGCAGACCTCCAAATCGAATAGGGGTTCCAGAAGGTGTATGTAGGGGCCTGCTGTATGGGGCATGAACTAGAACTATTGGTCCCTCCAGACGAGTCTGCTGCATCCCTCTCTTATCATGCTTCTTATTATTTGAGGTAGGCTTCAGCAAAGGGTGCTTGTGAGCCTATGTTGTGCATCGGGCTCCTCAGCCCTTTTGGCGTCTGTTCATCTGGCGTCTCTCTATTAGGGTTTAAGACATACGAATATGTGCCATCGGAACCCGGCTGCCACTGCCTAGCCTTCTTCCATTTCGTTGGGAGATGCAGCCTGGGCTCCCTGCCAGGTCGTGCCGTTGATGCCACAGCCGGTAGTGGCACCAAAGTCGCAGCCCACCATCTCCTCGGAAGTGCCCCATGGCTGGCTATGGGCTTTGGGCACAAAGCGGTTCAGAAGCAAGCTGCCAGGCAATCGTGTACTTTGCGTGACTCCGAGCCTGCGCTAAGGGCGCAAGCTTTGCGGTTCCTTCTGGGGAAGGAGGACGAGGCGGAGCCTAGCATTTGCCGGAAGCTTCGCAGCGAGTTGCGGCCTTGTAGCGAACATGGCAGTCAGGATGATAAATAAGTGCTGTGGGACGTCACGCGGCAAGGGTATGCAGGTTTTCCATGCAATCGCCGTTGGTGAGATTTTTGAAAGTCATCAGTTGGCTGATCCGTCTCAGGGTGCGCCTGGTCTGAGCAGCGTAGCGTTCGGGCCTTAGCTGTGGCAATGCCTCGCAAAAGCAAACGACACTTCGCAGCCACATGCTATCCTTCGTGCGGAAAGTGGCGGAGCTGAAATGGCATGTAGAGTCAATGTAGAGGTAGGCAGTTTTCAGAAGGCCTTTCATTATCGGGATGCAGGAGCGTCTGTGCGACTCAGCTAGACCCAGAAACAGTTTGATAGAGCAGCGAAGTACTTTCGAGCAACTCTTCTCAAAAGGATTGTGACAAACCCTAGACTATGGTGAGTTACCTCTCCGGACCGTTTTGGAGCCTCTGTATCAGGTTAATACAGTTGCTCAGTATACTCGCAGCTGGTCTAAGCCCTCAACCCCAAACGCCAAACCTTACACCCTAAATCGCAACCAGACCTTGAAACCCAACGCCTCAGCCTTAAGCCCCAGGCTTGATACCCACCCTCCACCCCTAAACCTCAGAACCATCAATCTCCAACCCCCAAACCACAAACTTCTGCAAAAAGGGCAGGGGGGAATTAAAGCATTCTGGGAAAAAGTGCGAGGTCGAGCCGGCAGGGCTCCAAGGAGAAGCGGGGCTCGGTGCTCGGTGCCGAGAAGCGGGGCTCACTCTTGGGCACCGTGGCCCCGACATGGGTTTCGGGTTTATGCGGGGCGAGCACTACTCAAGCCTGTGTAAAAAGGGTTCAGAGGTATTCCTCCTTTTCTTGAACTGAGACCAAGGATATTCCTTTATAAACCGTAGATAGTGATAGTGAAACATAGCCAACTCTTTTCAGAATATCCAGGCACCGATATCACTGGAGCAGTGACCTTCACTGCATCCTATCTCTAATGGCAGCATCCCGACTTTTCACCTCACTAGTGAACGGGGTTGACTGACCAGAGGTCTTAATTTCTCTCGCCGAAAGATGTACATCTGCTTCTTTGCCAGATGGGACAAGATGCACACAATTTCAATATGCTTACACCGACAGGCAAGTTGCATACACCCGCGCCTGCACACATGCGCACATGCACCAAGTATCAGGTGCTCATGTATGTATGCATGCATGCATGTATAGGTGTTTGCATGCTTAGAAACGTTGTAATTACGACAAGCTGGACTTTGGTTGCAGCAGCAGCAGCAGCAGCAGTAGCAAGTATTTCTGTGGACAAGACCCCAAACAACCATTAAGCAAACTGCAAAATGTCAACAAATAAGTTGAAAACAGTTAATAAGTGCGAAGGGACCCATGGACAATGAATTACAAACAACTAGAACAGGGCTCGACAGAGAAGAGAACTCAAACGAGAGCACAAGCTGAAGGACCGGACAATCAAGAACGCAACGACAACGCAACACATAGACTGTACCGAACGATGAAGAACACTTGGAACAAAGAAAGCACGATTTTTCAAAACGAAAACCACAATCATGAAATAACACGAATACTGGAACAACGCATGTGCACACGCGCACTGACTGAGAACAGCGTGTCGCCGTGTAATTGTTCTATCAAATCAGTGAGCTCTGCAGACGATACCCAGTTTAAGCACACTTGAGCGTGTTACTCCCTCTTCGATTTCCATGCGCTTTCTGTCTTTTAGCCTCATTCCATTACCATTCGAGTTGGTTTTCTGTTATTCTGCACTTGCATGCATGTATGGAGGCGCACACACACACACACAGAGACACACACACACACACACACGAGAACCCGAGCCCATGCACATCGTTCGCATTAAGTCATGAAGGCAGTTGTGCAGTCCTGTATAACCATGCGCGAGCATCATGCATACATCGGTATCCAACCGACTAACCGCTGTTGGCCCATATATTTGCACACACAGCTGTCTGTAGGTATACCAGAAGTGGCGTGATAGAGCATCATTATAGCATGCTTGTTGTAGAACCTTGACAGGGACACAACGAAAACAGCCGTCCCAGGTACACGCGACCGACGTGCTTCCACACGCTCCTCGACTCTGGCGCCGGAGCGGCGGGGTTCCAACTTGGCGCCACCCTCCGGCCGCGGCTCGATGTCCTCGGTGTCCGTCGCAAGTCGAAGAAACTCCGCGGGTTCCTACCCAGACGCCCGGGAGGGTGCGAGCCCTCATCGCCAGCCTTCGAGGCAGTCCATTGACTCGGACCTGGCATCCTTGTCCTCAGCCGGAAGCCGGAGGCCTTCCATCTCGGAGCGACGGAACTCTGGAGTTGCGAGCAGAGGGCGACTAGGCGCGGCCTGAGGGCTTCCATGTTGGGACAGGGTCCAACCGCTTCTTCCGCTGGATCTCCGGGTGTTTCATGAAGTGACAACTACGGGGATCTTAGTGTCAGCTGATGGACTCTACCCTTTCTTACCACCGGCTTTCTGGTAGGTCCGCTTCGGCGAGGAGCGAAATTCGGCGCCCAGGTCGATTTCTTTGCCGGGCTTCTTGGCTGCAACGAGCTGTCGAGGTCATGGACGAGCAGTCAGGGCTTCAGAAAGTGTCCGTTTGCTTGTTTTCAAGATTGCGGATTAGGGTTTAGGGTTTAGGCGGATTTCACGTTTCTTGTTTCCTTGGAGCACGACTGACTTCTTCTAGCTAACTGACCTGCTGGACAAACAAAGGCAAAACCGTGACAAGCATCTTTTAGGGTCACCGTTTAGGCATTCCCTTTGCCGAGATACGTGCCAGTTTCGTGCCGAAGTCTATGGGTATAGGGCCTTATCAGCATGTCTTCACTGGCAACTTTATCGTCCTCGGTCCTTGTGTCGGAGGGACCCAGCCGTCCTTGGCAAAGGAGGTTCAGTCTCCATCATTGGATTCGTCTGTTGGGGTCCTACTGTATGTCTTTTGGGCACATGTGCTCAAGACTCAACACGTTCATGCAGGCATGGCGCGGTACGGCATAAATGCAGGTTCCCAGCACCAGCTACAGCAGAATATTTATGACTAATGGCCACAGTTTTTACACGGTTTGGGCAATCCGACATTCACAGCAGCAGTGCCAAAGGACTTGAAACACCTGTCATCAGCGATCATCACAGGGGCTGTCGCAGTCATGTTCGCTCATCACGCCCACGGCCAGCAGCATGTTTATCAACAAAGCGTGTTCATGATTCTCGCAATCACTATGGCTAAACAACTGCGCTGGTTACGGCAACCATGCTGTTCGCAAAGCTCGGCTGGCCCAAACTGAGTCGTATCGCAACAAGTTGACAAAGATCCACATCCCTAGTCGGATAAGTGTAGGGTTGAGCGACTTGGTCCGAGGCCCCGTCTCCAGAAGGCAGACAGCATCATCAGCGGCTCGGCGTAAGTTCCATAAAGAGGGCAGAGATTTCGCTGCTCGGAAATCGAACGTCCGTCTTTTGCCGTGGCTGCAGGGCTTACGGGTTCCACCACCCGACAGTACGAGACTAGAGGGTGCAGTGGCTTGTTCTGTTTGACAAGGCCTTGGTGGTTTCTGCCGGCGAGGGATGACCTATGTGAGCTCAACAGTCTCGGAGGGTAGGATCCTAGCTTGAGGGTGTTCCGTTCGGCTTCAACAGAACAGCTCAGATGTCGCGCTCCGGCCTGAACAGTGGCAGCCGTAAGGAAGTGGCTGTACATGGAGCTTAGTCAGCTTTGAACGCCCATTCCCCCCAAACCGCCCCAAAACAGTGGCAGCTGTAAGGAAGTGGCTGTACATGGAGCCTCGTCATGTGTTCGTATTCAACTTTGAACGCCCGTCCCCCCCAAACCGCCCAACACCCTAAACCCTGAACCCCTACCCTAAACCTTTCTGACTTCAAACCCTCGCACTCTAGTTACGTAAATAGTATGTTGCTGACCACATATGTGTGGTTGTCAAAATTATGGTCCACCTTTTGAGTCCTTATTATAATACGGCACCTATTATTTAGGGTACCCCAAAAGGGACCCTAATTTTGACAACTACCCATATGATAACCCAGTATTATAGGGGCCATGAGGTGAGGCGAAGTCAGAGGCTTGGTTGGCCCGGGAGCTGGGAATTCCGATCTACGCCGCTCGGAGAAGTTTAGGGGTTAGGGTTTCGGGTTTAGGGTATACCCTAAACCCTAAACCCTAAACCCTAAACCCTAAACCGTGCTTTAGGGTTTTGGGTTTAGGGTTGGCTTCTCCCGGCGGGCTTTGGGGCCTTTCCGGGGTTCAGGGGATCGAGGGCTTCGTGGTTGGCCCTTTCACTTTCATGAAGGACTCCAGGGCCGGGCCTAGGTGACATAGAGCTCCTTATCATAATGGAAGGTCTGATGCAAGCTATACTACCTTAACCCCTATAAAACCCTAATCCTCAGTCAGTTCGCTGCGAAGGCTTTGAGTTCTTGTGCCTCCAGGGCTCTGGATTTTGGGGTGTTCAGGGCTCCAGCGTGCTTTTGGCCATGAGAGCGTGGCTGTGGGGTTCAGTGATTAACTTTCGGGGCTTCACTAAATGATTACGTCTCAATACCATTTTGGGAGCTCCTTATATTAGTATAGTTATAATTGTAGTATAGTATACTGAAGTATGCCCCAACACCCTCTTCCAATTAGTACCCCCCGCCCCCCAAAAAAAAATAGATCTTGAGGTCGTCGGGGTTGGGAGATTGGGGCTCTTGGTTCTGAGGCTGACCATGCAGGGCTTTGGTTCATGTCCCTTTTCAGGGGGTTTGTCATTATAACTATAGATATAATGGGCCCCAAAACCCTGTTCTAATTATTAAGGCCCCTATATGATGTCCATTTTGAGGTTCATCATAGTTTTTGAGGGCTGTAGTGTAGAGGCTCGGGGCTTTGAGTGTCAGATGCTAGGGATTAGGATTTGAATCGGGCCGTGGGTGGCGGTAGCGACCAGGGTCACGCGGCTATGCTTGCCTTCTAATACTGGGCATCAGCTAGAAAGACAGAAAGCCCTTATAGTAACTCTCAGTAAGCCCTTCAAAAAGAATTCTGAAGTTACCTCCTGCGAATTCAGGCCTCCATCTTAGCAGATGGTTTCTCAAGAGTGGAAGCAGGAGGGTGGCTAACAGGAGCATCCTTGCGGGCATCCCGGCCATGGCTGCGATACCTCAACTTGAACAAGATTCGAGTAATTCGGGGCACCATCCCAAGATGAACCAAACCAGGGCAACTAGTAACTAGTATGGGACATGGTGTCAGTTTTTGCCACATACAGTAGGTTATGAATGTTCCTGGGGTGTAGACCATGTGAGCTATGGCGTTGTCTCCGCACGACTTTCAGCCAACTCGGAGGGCCCAAGTGACAAATAAGCATGCCCTCCCCCCAAACAGAGGCGCACCATACTACTCTCCTAAACCTCAGTCCCCGATCAAAATCCAGCACACTGTCTGTTTTGATTTTGGGCGAATGGCTCAAGTTTGCCAAGGTTTTGTATTTGAAGCTCAGTGCGGGTCAAGAGTTCTAGGTAGACCCCTCCAAAATGGGGTGGTTTAGGGGCTCTTTTAAGGGTTTACTGTAGGGTTTAGGGTTCTCGATGGTTGAAAAGTCCTGCACGCTTTATACCCGAAGCTGCGGTGCCACAGGAGACGTTGTTTGGGATTGTGTCCTTACCAAATCAGTATGCCTGCTCCGATAGACCAGGGGAGAGCTCCGGCGCGAATTCTAAAGCCCAGCGACGCGCACTCACAACGAAGATCTCGTAATATAGGGGCCGTAATAATTAGAATGTGGTTTGGGGGTATATTCTACAATAATTATAAGAGGAAGCCCCCAAAACCCTATTCTAATTATTAACGCCCCTATACAGTAGCCACAAGTGAAATCAGGTGCTTCAACAATCCCTGGCCATCTTCAAGAAGTACTGCGCAGACTACGTCTGCCGGCCTGAAGATTTAGAGGCGTAGGGTTTAGGTTTTAGGGAAGGGGTCCCTGAGGACGGCGGGGTATGGAGTATTCCGAAAAGGACGGTGCTTGCTTCATGACACATTTAGAGATTTAACTTGAAGTCATCTTCGTCATCAACAGCAGCATATCAGTAGCATCTTCGATTGTATCCTCTCATGCAGCTGTATCGTGACATTTCTTGAACTCATACGTGTTGGCTGGCGTCGGTTTGGCGATTGGTTGGAGGAGATTGGCTGCATAAGATGTTGCATGAGACGAGACAGGATGCTTTTGCTCGCGCGCGAGAATGAAGGCCAGAAGCTGCCGTCACGCAACCGCTGGCCCACGTGCACCACGCTTTGCCATGACTCTGACCCGATTTTTCGTTCTGTCTGACCAACGCAGCACTTGCACACAGCTTCTGCATTCGCTGTACAATCGCGGGGCGCAATGATAATGACGAAATAAAGTTGTTGAGTTCTGCAGAGGTAGTTGACGGCATAGGCTCACCCATGCACATGCTCGACCAATCCACACCGAATAACCTGTTACACTCTGGTTGTAGGGGGTTGCCTGGAGCTCGATCCGGAAGTCAAGAGCAGGGGGCCTGGTGTGAATGAAGTGCTCAAACCGTTTAAATGTCTGGGTGTTCATGAGTAGGCCTGCGGCAAGCCTGGGACACAAGCCTGTCAACCCGCAGAGACTTGTCTGTGGGCCTGCGAGAATGACGTGCAAAGGAAGCATCCGCTTAGATCTCTGTTTAGGGGCACGGTAGTGATGCGCTTGGAAGCGGTGGTGTTAGCGCTCCCGGTGTTGCTCACAGTGCTGAAAAGATGCTGAAAGGAGGTCTGATGCCCCTGACTTCCAGTATTAATCGTAGTATGGTATCTCTGATCGCTGGCAATTCTTCGTCGAGTCTTCTGCTGGTCTAGTAGCTGGTAGCTCTGGAAGCTACATCCCTCACCGATACCTTTAAAATGCAGCCGCTAGAAGCACAGACATCATCATGATGTGTCGAGGGCAGACTTGATATAGCAAGGATGGGACCAACCTCTTCACGGTGCGGCTGCTCGGCGAAAAGAGTCCTTCCTTCGGAACTTCTAGATCAAAGTCTCGTCGGAGTGTTCCTGCTAGGCCTTAGAAGATAATGTATTTAGTCAAGACTAGTAGATGCTTTTAGACCTCATTTACAAAATGATGGGAACCCTGAGCTACTGCACAAACCCCTTGAAAGAAGAAACACAATAAAGTCTCGGATCCTCCCCAAGCCACATTGTGTACTCAGCGTATTCATGTCGATCGATCTCTTCTATGACCGACTAGGATCCTAAACCCGGAATCCGAAACCCTCCATGAATGTCAACCCTGCAGCCGAAACCTCATCACTTTGTTCCGTCCTTGCTTTCCAAGGGAAAAAGCAGGCTTAGGGTCTATGGGTTTACGGTTAGGGTTACTGTTAAAGCCTACGCGGACTTTGCTGCTGGGAGATGGCTTTTCACAGCTTCCCGTTGTCAGCTGCGCAGGTTTGACATGCGGAACTTTGAAGCCGCGCTCTGTGAGATGTGCCACATCTGCAGTCGAGACGTGAGAGCTCGCAGGGGTCCACAACGGTAGCACCCTCGAGTCCGACTGAATTCATAAAGCCCGAAAGCCACAACTAAAGACTCGACACAGTGGAACCCTGGAGCCTAAGTCTGGTTCCCAAGTGCTCCCCATGGTGGTTGACTTCAGGTGTTTACGCGGCTGTTTGCTTCGGCTGGCATGTGTTCTTTTGGAAGTTAGTTAGAGAACCACAGTGAATGCTGCAGGAGTGCCGTGCGACGTAGCCGTAGCCCGCAAACGAGGATTGCTTCTCTTGCATTAAAGTCATTGGCTATTCAAACATGGGATCTTGCGGCAAACTAACCGCCCTAACAAATGAGCTCGCCACAGCCCTGGCCCGCTGACCGAGACCTTCTTTAGGGTTAGGGTCCTGTTGTTAAACGCCCCGGTACACAGTCTTCATGAGCATAACCAAAGAGAACGTATATACAGAACGACACACACACAAGCGTGCCCAACTAAAGGACGTGTGTGGAGTCCACCGAGCAGTTGGATGTCCGCTTTGTGTCGGAGGCTTCGGGCGGGCTCATAAATAGAGCCAATCGCAGATGTAAATTGAGAAGAGATGCGGGGAAGAGCAGATGTTGCTGCAAGAAGGCCAGCAAGAAACGGTTGAGCGTTCAAGAAGTGCAGGTCTGGAGGATAATTTGTTTTGTTTTTTCGGGGCTTGGCATGTGGGCTTAGGTTTAAGAGAGTTTAGGGTCGAAGGGAAAGCTGAAACCCCAACTCCTCTAACCGAAGCCCCGGATGCCGGAAGCCGGAGCAAGCAGCCATAACGGACACGCTTCTCTCAAGCATCATGGCTTAGGTTTTGGGTAAATTTTCGGACTTATGACAATCTGCCTTATTTTGAGTGGTGTTATTGACCCGAAATGTTAAACCGGATAGTGAACACCCAGAATTCAGAACGTGTTGCTGCCCGCCACTCGGATTTCGGACAACTGCTAGTCCCGACGGCCCTCTCTGTGACAAAGCCAGGCATGCCTGAACGAATCATCCCCAGTCAGTAAGGCTTTCGGGCTTTTGGGGTGAGCAGCTCCTTAAGCATACACCGGAGGCCTGGATGCAAACAGACGCATCCATGACCTCAGGATCTAGACTCGAGCGTGTCTAACATGGACCAGGCGTTCCGGCAGGCCGACTTCACGAAAAGCGGAGGTGTCACTTGCAAAGAGCACCTTGCCGGGGGTGAGTGGGTCAAGATTCTCACGACTGCGCAACGTCCCTTTTCAATATTAGGTGTCCTGACAATCATCAACAGTGTTTCAGCCGCCTGTTAATTACAATATATTTCCCATGTCAGGACTTCAGCCTGGGGTTGCTAAGGGCTGGGGTGCCTGCCACACGAAGTTCATCGTTTGAGAGGTTGAGGTATGGTCGCTTGGCGATCGGGTTGAAGGAATGGTCCTGCAAGTCAACAAGGCATCTACAAACAGAGTTGCAGTAATTGAAACAGTCATACAGATGATGAAGCGCATGACGGCCACAGCTTCAGCTGATGATGATAATGGTGCTGATGCTGATGATGCGTCTGGCATAGCGCTTATCCTGCAAGAAGAAGCAGCTTTCATTCCGTTCATGAGGTCGAAGTACTTGTGCCCAAGCCCTCAACCATCCGGCTCAAGCAGAAAACGAATACGCCTGAAGAAGATATTCACCCTTCCTTAGAGTGCCTACCGTAATCAATCGATAATACACCCCCCCAAAGCCAGATTCGAATTATCAAGGCCTCTATGGTAGAAAGAGCGAGCTTAGAGGCAGGAACATGTCTTGGCATTCCTACAAGAGCCCGGTAAACATGAGTGAGAGAGACTGGGGCTTAGGGCTTACTTAGGCTTTATAGGATTTAGGGCGTAGGGGCTTACATACTTTAGGGTGAACCCTGAGCCTTAACGGTAGTTGACAGGGCGGACAAGAACTGGTGTGATGGGCAAAGGTTCGCTTTGTGGTTTGCGGCTTTTGGCTTCTCGAATTACCTCTGCGTGACCAAGGACCTACCGCCAATCCCTAAACCCCTTAAGGCCCCAAGGGCAGAAGCCCGGTGATTCAAACTCAAAAACACAGGAGTGAACCTGGATTGGATTTAGGGCTACGGGTGCGTCTCGAGGGTTCTACAGTTGATCTCTGTGCAAGTGGCACGAGTTTTGTTGTTGTTCTTTGAAGGCACCATGTGCGCATGCATATGCTCCATCCATGCGTCGTTTACTTACCGACCTGCATACAGCGACTGCGCACATAGACCTGTACGTATGCCCTGCTGTCTGGCTGTCTAGCCGCATGTATACATGGAATGTACACACGTCAGTTTATACGCTGACTGCACCGGCCACTGCATTCTCCGCAACCAACGTGGCCACGACAACCAACAACAATCACAGCAGATCACAACAGCACAGCAGCCACGGTAGCAGCAGCAGTAGCGGCAGTTTTGACGCTTGTCATGACAATGTTGATGTCGAGTTGAGTTCTGATGATAAATGCTGATGTGGCAGCAGCATTCCCAACAGTCATGCCGCTATGCCAAAAAACCAAGTGCGAGCACCTGCAGAACCAGGAGGCACACATACATACATACATAGATAC